AGCTGGCTCTGGTTTCGCCGCTAGATGTAACCTCAGCTCTCGAAAATATTGTCTCAACCGCTGGAAATATAAAGAATTTGCAAACCTCTTTGTTTCTGTCTTTGCATTGTATGCCGTTTTATAGTCCATGCCCTGAAAGTGTATTTCTTCCAGAAAGGAGGGGGGGACTTGAATTTGCAGAAGTAAAGGTATATTCTGACACTCAGCTGTATTCACTTTTAACCAGTTCTGCAGTAACACCTACTTAATATTCTCCCTTTGCATGTTTTGTAAGTAGGCTCTAGTTTGGGGTTTTTTTGAGGAATTAATTTTTTGCCTCATCAGTCTGTACAACTGATTCTCTGAATGGGAGAGAGAGTGCATAGAGAACAGACTTAGAAAAGTATCTGTAAAAGAAAAATAATGCTTTATTTTGTCCTATTTCTCAAACTATTAAATAGTTTTGTTAATAGACATTTTTACATCCACATTTTATCATTAACACTTCTGAAGTCATGGTCTGGTGTCATATTTAATAAAATCAAGCCACCTCATGTTTCATGATCACCTTCATTAAAATAATTCCTAGCATTTTCAGCAGTTTAATATTTGTGTAAAATGTGCATTCTTATTTTTATTTTAGTTTTGCAGATGGTTTTCTATAAAGTATGTTTTTACTAATTCCATGTGTGAATGATTTAAAAAACTATGGAGTAAGGTAGTATTTAATAAACTGTCAACCAAAGCAATATTTGTCTATCAAAAGATGTTATTTCATCATATTGTGCTATATTCCTGTCATATTACCTTATAGCACTGGAATCCTCCCGTCTCAGGAGCAAGTAATACAATTAATGGCAGGTGGCAGGAACCCCCTGTGCTTCCTCTCTGTTCTTCATCCTGCCAGTGGTAGGCGCTGGTTGCATTACAGGCACTTTTCTAATGGGTAGTGTCTATAAAGTGGTTCAGATGAAAATACCCTGAGGTGTGCATGCTTTTTCTATTGTAAGATGTAGCTAATTTATACTAAACCTCATGAAAATTAAATGCACCAATGAAACCAAGTCCTGGGAACCTTTAGCTCTCAAAACTTTTTTTTTCCTTTCTTTGGTTCAGAAACAATTTTAGTTAGATGCAGTATTCATCACACATCTTCAGTATCTTTCTACCAAGGCAGTGAGTTTTGGGAAAGGCAGTTGAGGGAAATTGCTTAGATATTGGTAGATTTAATATTTCTGGTCTTGCTTCTCCCCCATTGTTTCAAAAAAATACTGGGAGGAAAGATTCATGTCTGCTTCCCAGGGTTTATCATGAGTTTGATGACAATTTTTTTTTTACCCATGAAAGTCTTCCAACTTCTATAATATCCTGATGGTATAATTATAGTAATTCTGGCTTTATATATATCACAAGATAATTTCTGTGAGTGATCCTCCCAATTGAAACCACAGAAATGATGGATAGAACGAGCACCTCTTGTTGGGCAGGCGTTCCACAAAGGATTCCACCAAGACCAAACATGAAATAAAAGCAGGAATTCCAGGAGATAAGCAAACACAAAAGCTATTTTTCTCACTGTTGATTTTTACCAAACACTGGAGATCTGGACGTTTTTCCCCTAGTGGCTGTGCAGGGCACAGGAGATACAGTTCTATGTCTTGAGCAGGCAATAGCTGAAACGAGAGACTCCTGCATGGAGCCGGGACCACGAAAGACTATCCCTCAGTGAAAGGGTGACTGAGAAGTCAGCTTACCATCCAGAAGGAAACAACAGAGAGACGTGTCTTCATCTTGTCAGAAATTTTAAAATAGAAGGACTCGAATCTCTCTGACTCCAAAGCCAAGCTCTGTTATTTCAGCCTCCCTCCCCTGGAAGTTGTTCATCCCTGTAAGAAAGTGATTTTGGAGTTGAGAGGAACAAATTCGCTCCTGGTTAGGGCAGTCAGGAAATACTTCTTAGAGCGATATTTGAGCTGAACCTTGAAATAAATACAGGATTTCAACAAGCAGAGAATAAAGCAAAGATTCCAGGTGCAGGGAACTGCCTAAGAAAATGGTACAGTCGGGGCCAGTAATACAGTGATCAGCCTATGCACTGGCTTGTAGCGTATGACTAAGTATAGCAAGTACATTGTTACACTACTCTCAGAACTCGCTGTGCAGGTTTTGTTTTCTACTTGTGGGAGTACTTACTGGAGCATTTTTAAGTTATTGACACTTTGAGTGATAATTTTATGAAAGTATATTTTCAAGAGAGCTTTCCTTCCTTTCCTGCATGAATGTCTGTTTTGCAGCTTCTTAATGATATTTGACATTGAAATTGAACTGTTTTTCTGGGCCTCAGTACCAAAAAAGTTTAACTTACCATAACTGTTATTTTACTGACTATGTATTATCATGTCACTGAGTAGAGACTCGTGTGTGCACAGCACTGACCCAAGTAGTCAGAGGTGACAACAGATACTTCACAAGCCCTGCTTTTAAGGAATTGACACATTAATGGAGGAGGAGGTTTATTAAAGAATTAGAGGATGATAAAAACAATTTTATTGAGGAAGAGCAACTTGAGATATATGTTCAAAGATGGGGAGAGGAGAGAGTGTTTCAGATGGTGGATATGCAGTAAAAAAATAAAAGTGCAAAGATTCCAAAACGAGATTGAACATGGGAATGGAAATGAAAAATAAAAACCAGTGAGCTTTGTCAATGACGAGGTGCATATTGTGTGTCTGTGTGTACAGACATGCATTTGTAAGTTTAGATGCCAGAGCAGAGATGGCATGTCCCCAAAGGTACCTAACCACGAGTGGCCCATAGGCTTTGGGAATTTAGTCCATGGCAGCAGTTTCCACAAGACTAAAATAGGGAAGAAATAACAGCTCTTTCAGCTGATTGTGCTACTGCCAGCCATCCTTTCTTTTGCCCTCTGAAATGCGAGGGTTAAGTCTCTGTCTCTTCGTGACCTTGTAGAGAACTGGGGTCATCTCTCACCCATTTCCAGGGTGATGAGAAGATTGTGTGCACCCTCACTGACCCCTGTATTGTTCAGTCAAGTACACTGAGCTGTCATGTTCATTTTACTTGTGTTTTAATCTTATGGCTATTAGCAGTTTGCCGTTCATTTAATAAGCACTGGGTCTTCGCCAAAAGCCAAGTACTAAAGATAGGATTCATTAGTTCATTCAACAAAATATGTATAATGGCCCTCCTTTGTATCAGGCTTGATACACTGATACTTGGTACTGAGTGTACCAGGAGTGAATAAAAGAAACACATCCCTGTACCCGTGGAGCTTATGGCCTCGGGGGGTAGAGTGAAATTTAAGAAACAAGCACAAATAAAAATGCTGCCGCCTTGGTGATGAGTACTATAAATAAAAGAATGCTAAAGAAGAGAGTTAAGGGAAACCTGCATTTTATCCTCTCAGAAAAAGTGATATTTGTGCTGAAGTCTGAAGGATGAAGAGGACTTAGCCAGAGATGAGATGGGCAAGGGGCGAGGGCTGGATGGAGGAGAGGCCTTGCTAAGGACCTGAAGCAGGAAAGAGCTGATGAATAAATGGATGAGAAGGACGTGGTCCCTGTTCTCTCAAATTCTCTTATAGTGATGGACGTACCAACAAAAACATGTTACATTGTGACAGGTATGGTAATAGTGGTTTGGGCCAGTGCTAACTTAGTGTGTTGGAATCATGCACTCTGGGAAGGCTTTCTCAGGCAGGAGATATTTATGCTAGACCTTAAGGATAAATAAGTATTTATAGGCGCATAGGGAAAGGGTCTTTATATAGCAAATGGGTTGAGAAAATAATGCCTGTAAGTTCTTGATGTTACTAATTTTGAGGGGCAGCTATAATATGGGTATTGTAAGTGATTTCTAGAACCTTAAGCCCAGAGAACATAAATAATTGAAATACAATGCAGGAACGATCACATTCAAAAAATTGTAGATTTTTAGTTTTGCCTGTTTTATAACATTTTAATGTGGTACATACACTGTTTTGTTACTCTGTCTTTTAAAGATTGGCATATATAGAAACCAGCTTTTGAAAGATCGATTTTTTTTTTAGGTATTTATTGTTTTTTAATTATTGTGAAAAATGCAAACATAGGAAAACAAAAGAGTATAATGAATCGCGGTTATACCTATCACCTAATTATAACAACATTTTTCCATTGCTTCAATTTTTGGCTGAAGTATTTTAAAAACATGATATTTTCTCCCAAACATAAATATGCTCTTCTAAAAAATAAGGTTATTTTCCTATATAACCATAAAACCATTATCAAACATGAAAAGTTAATAAGTCCTTAATATTACCTAAACCAATCCATGTACAGGTTTCCCCACATATCCCCAACAAGGTCCATATAATACATTTAGTTGAATCACATCTCTTTGTTCTCTTAACCTAGAATAGTTCCCTCAACCCATCCCACCTTTTATTTTTTCTATATATTTTCTTGTTGAAAACAGGGCTATTGTCTGTTTATAGTCCTACCTTTTGAATTTGTCTGAGTATGTCCTCTTTCCCTAGATTTCCTGTAAGCTGGAAATTAGGTCTAAAGCTTGATTATATTCAAGTTATATCTTTAGTCTTTTTTTTTTCTAAGTATAGAGAAATACAATACAAAAGTCCCATAGCTTCACTTCCAGGATAACTTCTGCTCCTTCTTGTCCCGACCTCCCTCCCTGTCTTCCCTTTTCCTTTCTCCCTCCCTCTCTTCCTCTCTCCACACACAGGAATATAGAGTTAGAAAATTCAACTAGTACAGAAAGATACAAAACAAATTGAAAGCTTCTCTCTACTTGTCCCCAAAGTCAACCACTGATGACTTTTCCTTTCCGTATGAAAGTGTTATGCATTTACCAACATGCTTTCTATTTAAAAGAATCACCTCCAAGGTGGCTTTGAAAACAACCTTTTGCACTAAAATGACTCATACAGCTTTCTAGATAATGTTCCGTTATTGAACTTCTGGTTTCTAAAAGAGTGTCTTTTAAATGTAGTTCTCATGATTCAAACTGCTAATATTTCCATTTCATTACCATTAAGTTACACAATTCGACTTCTTCGCTTAGAGACTCCACACAGACAGCCAAGGAAACCGATGACTATCTGACTGAGTCCAAACAGGAGCTCAAGAATTCCCACAAGCAGTAGACCTAAAAATACTGAGAAATGGATAGTCTTGTATTTGTCTTCTGTAGACTCGAAGTTCAAGCTTCTCCAGTCGCTGGCCGTGACCTTGTTGTTGGTGGGATTATTGGAACCAGTAGACGTTGTGCAAGATTCACTGAGGAACCACTGCAGGTTGAAGGATTCTGGATGAATGTCCCTGAAAAATGAAAGAAATGATAAAAATAAGATATTCAGGAATATCACTGACCATCAAAAGAATGCAGCATTGTGCCCAGAAAAAATACAAGTACAGAACAGAAAGCACTTTTGAAATGTTGTGCTCAGAAACTATAGCTAAGATGAGGGTTTCTGAGCATGTGTCCATGTAGTCGAATAGGTACAAAACTTTTAGTCGTTATGTAGCCCATTGTTCAAGCATTTCTGTAGTACTTACTCTTAGGTTAAACTCTGAATTTTTCTGTGTCCTAAATGGTTGAATATCAGTTTCGTGTGGTTCAACTTACTTATGCAGGCGCTTTGCTACTTGCTCAAGATAGGAGAATAAAGGAGCTCCCCCTTTGAAGGAGCTCATTTCTTGGTTCAGAACTGCAGGGTTGCATCTGCTCTTAAACCAGATGTACAATTTTTACTCACAAAAGACATATTAAATATGTCCAATTCAAGTGATTTGTGCCCATTGTAACAAGGTATGAAAAATGAGAAACCTTTAGCCCGAACACATCAATCCAAGATGCTTTTTCTTTGGTTTACGACAGAGTAAGACTAAATGTTCTTAGAGAGTTTGCATTTCTGGATGCAAACAATTGACATTCAACCTGGGGAAACAACAGTGTTTCAGCACGTGGAATATGAATGTGTGTTCTGCAGTTTGCAGCAACCATAGGATCACTCTTTTGTGACTGTTGACTCTCCATCACTCTCCATCACTCTCCCCAACAAGGATGGGAATACTTCGAGTGCTGTCATCTCCAGAGCTTACGCTGGGGCCTGGTACATGGTGAGTTGTCCTCTGCTAAGGACTGAATGTGTATTGCCTCTGTGGTTGGAATCTAATTTTATGCTTCAGATCTATTAGTAAAGGGAATTTTTTTGGATTTCGATTCACCACAAATGTGGTATGCAAATTTTGAGAGATTTTTCTTTTTTGATGTAGTAAGATAAGGGAAAAGGAGGGAAAAAATTTTTTTCATGTAACTACAAAAGCAAATTCTGGGTATTTTCCAAACTGAGCAGCATATAGATAACTAATGAATTAGATTTTTCTTTTCTTCCACTTGTACAAATTACAAATTGTGCCTAGATTCAAGCACAGAACCATCTTACAAGACTGAAATGAACCATTTACATGTTACTCCAGTATTATTTGTTGCTACATGACTTAAAGTTTGATTCATTCCCTACAGTGCCTACAGAGCATCTGTAGTATGTCTGCATGAATCCATCGGCTGCTTTCTTTCTTTTAGGGCTTATAGATAAGGCTCTAGATGTTATTTATTTATTGTGTTTTTATTCAATTTTTAAAATTATAAAGGTAATATATGCTTAGGACTTACAAATTTAATTAGTTCAGAAGTGTAGAAAGTCAGTGCTGCCTTCACTTCCCCAGGGCATCCTTCATTACCACTTTCCAATGGTGAAAGTTAAGTTTCTGGTGTGTTATTTCCAGAAATTTTTTATATGCATGCATATATGCAGCCATAGATTTTTAAAAGACAAGGATAAGCCGTCTGAGTCAACTACTCCTTTTAGACAAGACCATACCCAAGGCATTCTGAATGCAATGATTCCTCCATTTCTATGAGATTTTGCCAGTTGGGGTTAATGTACTAAATCCCTAAGATTCTGTTTGTCCCAGTAATTTCATCAAAGAAAAGCATGGCACTGTGTCAACACAGTATTCTACTCTAACTAGCTGCAGCTATGCAAGACAGTCAGTGCAAGTCAGGTTACTCACCTTAAGTTTTTAAATGAAAATTCACAGCTGGAAGTACTGTTGCTTTGAGAGTTACAGATGAGAGGACCTTCTTCAAGAGCCTGGATAGATACCAACATGCAATACACAGCACCAATGACTGTGAGTACGTTCAACAGTGATGAAAGAAACATCTGAAAAATAAAGTAGGCACATTTGCCCGTTATGACATGGTCTTGTTCCATTTCAAGTTTCAACAGCGTGTATGGTCTTTTCAATCAACTGCTGCCGTCCTCTAGTCACCCTATAGTCCTAAATCTTAAGCTCACAGTTTGATTAAGTATGAATTATAAAAGAAGGCAGAGGGCAAAGTCTTTTGCCATTTGATTAGACTCACTAAAAGATTATTAGTTTTGCCACTATTTCTGAAAATTCTGAACTTCTACATACCCAAGCCTTGTCCATTTTGACTGACCACTGAGATCTGGTTCCTCCTCCCTATTCTTATAATTCCTACTTCACAGAACTTTGACTAGATCTTAACCACCTGCATTTTGATGTCTGGTTTCTTGACTCTCAAATCTTTAATCTGGATTTGGCCCTGATGTTGTAAGTGGCCAGTGGTTGACATCCTGCAGTGAGCAATCAACAGTGTGGTGTTAGAACAGAGTTTCTCAACCTCAGCACTATTGGCATTAGGGCATTTAGCTGTTGGGGCCTTTCCTGTGCATTGTGGGCTGTGTAGCAGCATCCCTGGTCTCTACCTAGATGCCAGTAGCGTAGACACACACCCACCCAGTTATAGCAACCAGAAATGTTTCCAGACATTGTCAAATGTCCCCTTGGGGGTAGGGGATGCAAGATCACTTCTGGTTGAGAAGCACCGTGTCAGAGGGAAAGATTGTAAACATCTAAGCATCTTTCATTTCATGAATCAGAGTCAGAAAACAGAAAAAAGCATGAAATTCAGCAATAGGAAATGTTATGGCCCAAATGAAAGTTGGGATATGTGTATGTTTTCCAAAAAGAAGCTCTGTGTTGTTTCAGTGAAGTTGTTAGTGATAATTATGACTATTTTAAAATCTGCAGAACCAAAGTGAAGGAATAATTTTTCTTTCTTTGGTGGGATAATATTGCAACTTCTAGAGAGTTGACATGTTGTGCTCTTAAGAGGCAGAATAAGTGGCTACCTATATAGTGTGTGTCGAGGAACCTAGGGCTTTACAATCCTTTCAATCACCCCAAGAGACAGATAGTGTTATTATTCCCATTTTATGGATGAGAAAACTACAGTTCGAGGAGGTTGACAAACTCGCCAAGATCTCACAGGTGTAAACACTAGTGCTCAAGTTTTAATCAGTACACTACACTCCTTCCAGCTAAGAGCACAAAAGGATGGATTTGGAGCCTAATTCAAATCCTGATTTTTCAGTGCTACTGTGGCCTGTGCAAGTTACTTAAATTTGCTCATCAAGAAGTGTGACTCTGTTTATATATTGGTCATCTATTATTTCTGACTTCTCATCACTACAGAGGGGCCTGGCTTTAGAAAGTGGTTCCAGGGATCTGCATTTCCCTTAGAGTGGGACTCATTTAAATAGCAAAACCAAAATATTCAGAAACAAAATCAAGAATTGGAAAAAAGAAAAGACAAAAACAGTTAAGGTAGGGGAAATAGTGGGGACAGTTAAAATAGGGGAAAAGCCTTGGTGACCCTCTCCCCTCCCACCCAAGATCTAGCCTTTGTCGTTTTTATGATGCTTTGGTCTTATCTAGACTTGGAAGATAAGAGGTAGGACTTCAACACCAGTCCTCGCAGGGCTTCCACCAAGTCAGAAAAGTGACTAAGAACTCTTTATTGCATCTAATCAACGTAAACTGGCGATTTTGATTCAATAGCCAGCACCACTATTATTAATGGAGCATGAGCAGTATCGTACAGGGCCCCTGGGCCCTCCAGGAGCTCCTGTAGCTCCTCGGCCTGTAATAATCTGTAAGGTTGCTGAAGCATGAATTCCAATTCTTTTCAAGGGTAGAATGGGGGAGCAAAACCTCCTGGTGTGTTAAGCCCAACACCTACATGAGACAACAGTTTGGTTATTCTCAACTCACTGTGTCCTCAAAGGAGAGAGAAAACTTAATCATTGAAGAGATGACTAACTTGTCTTGAAAGGATATGTGCAGGAAAAAAAGATTCTTAATGGAAATATGATTTGAGAGAAAAATCTACGTAAGTGTTCTGATATTTTTGAGTTCGGGGATTCAGAAATATCTCGGGATGTCTTAAGAATGTTGTGAGTACAATATAGAGGTAATGCAAAGTCAAACTCCAAATTATTACAGTTTAAGAAGAAAAGTGACAGGGAAGGAAACTGAAAATTAATATTTATTGAATACCTACAGTGTATCAGGAACAAAGACTATAAGTAATTAGCAAAGTAATTATAATCCTAGATAAATACCAAATGTCAGAAAAAGGTAATTTTTAAAAATACAAATTTTCTAACTGTTATGGATATAAATATGTAATATGGATATAAATATGCTTTTATTTTATTTATTTTTTTTGTGAGGAAGATCAGTCCTGAGCTAACATCAGCCAATCCTCCTCTTTTTGCTGAGGAAGATTGGCCCTGGGCTAACATCCGTGCCCATCTTCCTCCACTTTATATGGGACGCCGCCACAGCATGGCTTGACAGGTGGTGCGTCAGCGCGCGCCCAGGATCCGAACCCTAGGCCGCTGCAGCGGAGCGCGCGCACTTAACCGCTATGCCACCAGGCCAGTACCTAAATACGCTTTTAAACAGTGGTTCTCACCCCTGGGAGCCCATTAGAATCACTTAAGGTGCTTTTGAAAAACACTGGTGCAGAATCTCTGGGGGCCACCAGGCGTTGGTGTTTCTAAGATCTTCCTTGGTGATTCTGATGTTCCCATCAGGCTGAGAACCATTGCTTTAAAACCTGACGCTCAGCCAGGAATATTTACTGTGCCTGCTTGTTTATTGATCCACCCGCTTCCTTAGAGAATTGTGAGACCCCTCAGTGTTACTTACTAACAAAGTTCATGGCATAAATAGTGTAAAGATTGTGTATTTTGGAGTCTGATGGATTTGGATAAAAATCCACCTACTAGCTGTGATACACTAGCAACTTATTTGCTTTCTCTGAGGATCAATTTCTCGGTCAATAAAACAGATCATAATATTTCCCACTCAAGGGTTTTGAGAGAATTAAGATAACATTTGAAAGTATTCTGAGCATAGTGACAGAAGGTTAATAAATATTAATTTACTTTTAACTTAGTTACAATTTTATACATAGTAGGCACATACTAAATGTTTCAAAAAATAACTGGTGTCTCTTTTAATTTAACTGGATAAGGACAATTATCATTCCGATCCTAGCAAACCAATCTTCCATAGGCATGAGAGAACTGAGGATACATTTTCCCTAACTATTTTATACACACCACAAAAGTGACACGTATTTGAGCATTATGAGATTGATCGTGGCTCTGAGTGTGACTTATAAATCTCCTTTCTTTGAAAAACCTTTAGACTGGTGAAACTAAAGATTGAGGCAAGATCTCTAGGCCGGCTCCAAAGCTAAATCTTTACAGAAAAAAAAAAGAAGAAGGTCACGCTTTCCATATTATCATATGGTCATTCTAAACAGCATGTTTCTAAGACTGCGGCCCTGCCTGTGGCACGAGTGATTCGGTGGACGCTGCTGGCGCAGGGTGGCTTGGCTTCGATGTTGGTAACTGCTCGGACGCTTCTGCTCCCAGACCAGTCTCCCCGTACTCACTCCGACTTTGTTGTTGCAGCACGCTCTTTTTCTTGCTGCCAAGGACATTGTTGTTGCTGGGATAACCTGGAAATTATGACAGGAAAGATGAGTATTATTACATCTTATCAGATGAAAAAGCAGTAATCCCCGCCTTCCATTTACCACCAGTTGTGGGAAATGACGGCTCAAGAGCACAGAAAGGCAATTCGGCAATGTCCTTGATCTTGTGATACCCATGTCGACTATAAAGATTAAAGAGGAGGAGGGGAAGGGGAATTTAAGGAAAGCAGTTTCAAACCCTTCCGGCTACGTTCTTGCTTTAAGTCACCTTTGGAGAGACTTGGATTTTAAATAGATTAGAATGAGTTATTTATTCATTATTTTGGAAGGAATGTTTCTGAAAGAATGGGTTGCATCATCCAAAATTCACTTTTTTTTTTCCAGTTACTATAATCTGCAGCCACTTATGCAATTTCCCAAAAATTGTAGGAATTAATCTGGCAAGCATCCAGAAAGGAAATTCATGGTTTTGTTTGCCTGGCAGTTGGGAACTAGGAATTCTGTCACCACCTTCTCTCACTCCCCTAACCTTCCTCTCACTCCCGGGGTCGCCACCATCTCGCTAGTACTCAAATGCTTACGATTTGTGAATAGTTTTTAGTTCCACATTCTCCTTTCTGCTCCTGTATCTGTAATATGTAATGATCTCACTTTACATTGATGTGCAGAAATCCTGTCTATACTGCATTCTGTGTCAATGGAAACACATATTGCTGAGGAAAGCTGTGAGAAATGACGCCACATTCTCAGGACTTAGGTTTAAATTTTTAGTAATATCTAGTCCGTAGCTATGACTAGAAGTTCTTACTGGAAGAAGTTTTGTATCATTGAAGAGTAGAATGTGAATTACTTCCTCCCACTTAAGAAATTTTAGCCATAAGGTATTTTTGCTGTCTCAGCACAGCTGCCCTTGAGTAGTTCTCTCCTTCCTTGGCTCATTTCCTAACATTTTCTTGAGCTCTAACCACATGCCAGACAGTGTCATAGTTGCCGTACATGTTTTAGTTCATTCCAGCCTCATAACAATTCTGTGAGGTAGGTGCTCTTATTATCCCCATTTTACTGAGGTGGAAAACTGAGGCACGGAAAGTTTGAATTAACTCACCTAACCAAGTGGAAGAATTGGGATTTAAAGCTAGGAATTTGGGTCCCAGAGCCCAGACTCTTAACCACTCTTCCACACTGGCCAATTTTTATAATTCTCCTCTCTTCTTATATGGAATTTGTTCATTCTTAGCCTTCCCCCACCATCAACCTTGGTCATCTCCTTGTGCTCCTTCTAACGGCCCCTTTCCTGATTCCTTCTTCCAAGACCACGTCTACCTTTGTTCTTTCAGAACAGGTCTAAGATTTGCACCTTACAAGGCAGCTTTCCTGACACACTTCACCCCACGCTGACCATGTGCTGACTCCACGTCGCTCGTGGAGCACACTATTGTCATCAGGCTTTGCTGACATATTGCCTTGAACACCAACACCCTTACAATTTAGAAGTCACACATATGTATGGCAGCCAGCCACTTTGGGGCGTAGCTGAGAGCCCAGAAGAAAAGGGAGAAGAGGGCCAGGCCAGTGGCATAGTGGTTAAGTCCCCTGCACTCTGCTTTAGCAGCCCGGGGTTTGCCAGTTCAGATCCCAGGTGTCGACCTACACCATTCATCAAGCCATGCTGTGGCAGCGACCCACATACAAAATAGAGGAGGATGGGCACAGATGTTAGCCAAGGGCCACTCTTCCTCAAGCAAAAAGAAGAAGATTGGCAATGGGTGTTGACTCAGGGCTAATCTTCCTCACCAAAAAGAAGAAAAAGAAAAAGAAAAAAGGGAAAAGAATTTTTAGCCCCCAAATAAGTGTCAGTGTTTATGGACTAAATTTCTTTTGTTGTGCTCATAAGCTATACTGCCTTCTGAGCTTAAGGAACAAATCATTTAAAGCAGGAACTGGCAAACTATGACCTACCACCTCTTTTTTATATATGAAGTTTTATTAGAACACAGCCATGCCCATTCACTTACAAATTGTCTATGGCTGCTATCACGCACCAGCAGTAGAGTTGAATGGTTGTGAGAGAGACTGTCTGGCTTGCAAAGCCTAAAATATTCACTATGTGGCTCTTTACAGAAAAAATTTGTCAACCCCTGGTTTAGAAAATTAAGGACTCTGTTAAAAGAAAATTGGAGCGGGGCTGGCCCCGTGGCTTAGCCGTTAAGTGCGCGCCCTCCGCTACTGGCGGCCCGGGTTCGGATCCTGGGCGCGCACCAACGCACTGCTTCTCCGGCCACGCTGAGGCCGCGTCCCACATACAGCAACTAGAAGGATGTGCAACTATGACATACAACTATCTACTGGGGTTTTGGGGAAAAAAAAGAGGAGGATTGGCAACAGATGTTAGCTCAGGGCCGGTCTTCCTCAGCAAAAAGAGGAGGATTGGCCTGGCTGTTAGCTCAGGGCTGATCTTCCTCAGAAAAAAAAAAAGAAAGAAAGAAAATTGGAGCAATATTAAATTACAACTTAAATGGATAAATCATTCCATTTTCCTTATTGATGTAAATTAAACTCTGCTGACTTACTTGAGGATTAATTCAGAGATGGTGAATATTTACTTTCATAGTTCCGTTGCAAAGGGATTTTACAAAGTAACATTAGCTTATAGTATATAAATCCCCACCCAGTTAACTTCATGACATGTTAACACATTGTTGTTATGTTATTATGAGTAACTTGATAATTCACTATATTTCAACTGTTTTGCCCATTCAGAGCTTTGGAAATTGGAGGGGCTCTTTATATTAGAATGTGAAAGCGTGTGGGTGTATGTGACTGAATTATAAATCTTCTAGTTAGTCTGTCAAAATGAGTCATTATGAGAATACTGTTTCTCTTCAGTTCCTAAGCACTTTTGAATGCGTAAGAGTTTGTTTTTATAAAGAGAAGAAGGAGTAGTATTCATTTTTTCTTACAGAAACTCATCTTTTGTTGTCTTAGAAGTAAGGTATATGATTTTACAAATGAAGTACAGAGGAGCTTTAAGCCATTAAAACTCTGTGATAGAATTCAAATTTTGGGGCATCTTCTAAGTACTTGAACATGAGAGGAACACAGAAAGCCATAGCTAATCATAAATATAAAAACTGTATTTTAGGGCTGGCCCCGTGGCTTAGCGGTTGAGTGCGCGCACTCCACTACTGGCGGCCTGGGTTCGGATCCCGGGCACGCACTGACGCACCACTTCTCTGGCCATGCTGAGGCTGCGTCCCACATACAGCCACTAGAAGGATGTGCAACTATGACATACAACTATCTACTGGGGCTTTGGGGGAAAAAAAGGAGGAGGATTGGCAATAGATGTTAGCTCAGAGCTGGTCTTCCTCAGCAAAAAGAGGCGGATTAGCATGGATGTTAGCTCAGTGCTGATCTTCCTCACAAAAACAAACAAACAAACAGAAAAACTATATTTTGCAAATTCTTGTTATACAAAATATCTTCTAATTTGTTTAACATTCAACAATTTGTTCTCTGTTAAGACTTTAATAACTGATGAATTACCATTATGTAGTGAGTGAACTCGAGTAAGTGTGATTAAGATCAGGCTTACAATTAATCTCATATAAAATAAAATGCCCTTTAAGAACAAACATTTCAAGTCTTTTTTTAGTACTTGGGCAAAGAACATGAGTTGATTTATCCATTTAGCAGATAACAGTTGAAGATAATCACATAAGACTTTTATTTATGGTTTCAAAAGATGAGAAGGGTCACCTCTGTTTTGGATAAGTCATAAAACCATAAAATGAATATATTTTATGAAGTAATCAATAATGAATTCCATAGTTTTTATTATTACCTACTTCCTGCAAAATCTCCTGTTTTGGAAGCAATACTAATTTAAAATGCTACAGCAATTTGGGAAAGATTTCAAGAGCTATGACAAAACTGCTTATCACAGGCAGTGATTTCGTCTTTTTTATTAACGTCTCTGTGTATTTACAAGTATATTGAGAGTTTAATCTTTTGAACTAGTTGGTATTTTGACAGATGTTGTAAAGGACACAATTCCCTTTGAAAAAGATATTCTTCCACATTCTGTGTATATCTGAGGAACATAAAAATACACCTGTATTCTGAGCCCTTCCATCATGCGCCTGTTTGCTTGTGAGCCTAGTCTAGAGTTTGAGGCTCAATCTATAAAGTGCCTCTTGACTTTTTCAAAGAGTTGTTTGATGCTTTGATGACATTCTACAATACTGAGTAGCAGAGAAAGCCTAGCGTGGTACCTTTTGTTAATATTTATTGAGGGTGATAAAGTAAATTAGTCATGGGACAAGGAAGTCCATATTCTCTGAAACTGTTTCACAGATTCATATAACCATTCTATGCTTCAGTTTCCTGGTAACTGAAATTTATGGATTAAGTTATGAATTATCTGTCAGACTGAGACAGATGTTGAGGATTATGGTGCAAATACTGGTGGAAAACAAAACTTTGGAGTCAGAGAAATCTGGAATTGAGTTTCACACCTACTGTGTGACCTTGTTAGCATTCCTAACCTTCTGTTTGCTGGCTTGTTAAAATACAAATGATAATATCTTCTCAGCCAGATTATTAAAGAGATTAAAGGAGACAACAGTGTAAAGTATGAACCCAGTAGTTGGCACTTAGCAGTGGTTTCTCTCTGTGTCTTTCTCTGTGTCTTCCCCCCTCTCCATCTTCTGCCTCCCAAAAGAACAACACATGGAAGATATTGGGCCGTCATCACCTCAGTCTCCTTTAATGCTAGCAAGAAATTTTTTTTTAAATTGTGATGGGGTTTGTGGTAGAGCCAATTTATATCTAAAGCTACATGAGTTATTCTAAATGGGTTGTTTTGGCTGAGGAACTTTTAGAAGCTTCATGGAAATTGACATTATTGGTTAGACTTGGACAGCTGCTCCTGGCTTCTGGTCTAAGCAGATGTGAAGGAAGCTCATGCTATTCAAGTAGAGAGAAGCCTCCAGAAGGGCAGACAACAGACAGAAGGATTTGCAGTGGCGTCACCCTGTTGAGCTCTGTGCTCTCTCTCAGCCTGGAAGAGAACTTTCATGGCGGTTTGAAGAAATAGCCTAAAACTTTCCAAAAGCCTTTTCTTTAAGTGGCTCTAAAGCAGGGTGAAGAGAGTGCTTACGACGTTAAAGGAAAAGAAACTATTAACTTTTGGGGAATGCTTCCTAGAATGACTTTTTGATGCCAGAGTGGTCTCAAGTCCAGTGTACCAGCTGAAGGACAAATTTTTATCTAAAGTTTAATACATAACAACCCAAGAGTGTTTTCCTATAAGTCTGGGATAGGACCAGCAGCAGTAACTCGTCGTCACTGAAACACACACGCATCCAAACAAAAGCTCCTTTCTCTGCGTTAACCAGACCCCCATAGGTAGTAGCCACGTGGTAAGCAAACAAAAGCAAGCCTCTTGAATGCTGAATGTTCCGACTTCAATATCTACATCCCCGTTTTTTGAATATAGCAACAAAATCAGAGGATAAATGATTTGCTCACAGTAACATATTGGAGACAAAACTGGACCTAAGCTTTCTGCCAAGTCCAAAACCAGTATTCATTCCTCTCCACAGGTGGGTCCTACCCGAGCCTACTCCATCAGAGTCCCCGGGAGGAGGTCTGTAAATCTACATCTATTACAAGTGCCTCAGGTGATACGTGATTACGTACACTGGGGAGTTCTATTACACTGCTCTGTGGCAGACTTCAACAAAGATAGATGTATTAATAATTATCCAACTCAACATTAAATAAGCACCATGATGTTCTGGGCTGTACGTAAGATCTGAGTCTGAAAGTCTCTGAGGTCAGAGAGCCAGGGTTTAAGTCCCAAATCTCTTAGGCCAACTCCCTTCGGTTCAGGCAATGCCATATTCGTGCCTCACAATTATCATCATCCAGGATACTCATCGTGCTTGGGAATATTTCTTCCCATTCCTTTTTTTTTTTTTTTTTTATTTTTTTTTTTTTATTTTTCCCCTCAAAGCCCCAGTAGATAGTTGTATGTCATAGCTGCACATCCCTCCAGTTGCTGTACGTGGGACATGACCTCAGCATGGCCGGAGAAGCGGTGCGTCGGTGCGCGCCCGGGATCCGAATCCGGGCCGCCAGCAGCGGAGCATGCGCACTTAACCGCTAAGCCACAGGGCCAGCACTTCCCATTCCTATTGAGCACTTCCTCCTCCTACTCTATGCCTTCTAAATACTTAGACTGATATTGGCAAAGGAAAATTGAGGGAATGAATCTAGAAGGTCCCTAACGCCAACTATAAAGCTGGGAAGAGCAGCCCTAATGTGAAGAAATGTGATCAGTGATGACCCAACCAACTTTTATCAATTTTGTTTATTTACTTTTTTGCCCAAGCTCTCTAGCCTGTACCACATGGTTTAATTTATTTAAATTGTCACTCTTCACTGATAACCACTAATTATAATACCATACCACTGCTCCTCACTTATCCTAAACATAGCTCACTGCAAGGCTGAAAGATGGTCTTTAGGAATTTGGTAAAATAGGCAGGCCTTTCTCCAAATCATGTCAAATAAATATTACTCACCATCACACCTGCTCCAATAATTCCTGGGAACCACCACTCAAAGCAAGAGATGGGGTTTTGAAAACCTTGGTCTTCAACTAAGTTGACAATTAGCGGTATGGCGTTGAGAATTACTCCCAACAGAAGTAGAATCAGCAGGCTGATTCCGTTGCAGGATGTCCATCCTTCACAGCAGGTCATGGTCACCTCCTGATTCAATTAGTAAGCCCGTCAAAGTGACTTGTTTGTGTGGCACTGTCTTGCCTTTTATCCTGAGCCTTCTAGTTAAAGTTTAGCGCTTATGAAAAATGAATTGCTGAAAGTAGATCAGAGTCCAATAGGGCGGGACATTATTATGACTATTATGGGAAGGAAGGATAATTATACATTTTGATAGGGTGGGGGAAGGAAGGCAGAAAAAATCTATAGTTTCTGTTAGATAAATTGCATGAAAAATGCATGCAAATAGGCAGAAGAAAACTTGAAAACTGAAAAAAAAAGAAAAGGACAGGTTTAAGATAAGCTCCTCTAATATATTTTACTAGTATGCTTTATAAAAAGTAAAAACAAGAATATCCAGTTACTATAAACTATTTTTTCCTGTTGTATTGATATTATTACCAGCTATGGAAGCTCCTTATTTTGAAACTGTTCAAGAAGAAAATGAACATATATGAGATTGAGAGAAAAATATTTCCTCTGCCACAAATGTTCTTGGTTAGTCAAAATGTTAGAATTCAGTTTCAGGGTGTATGCTTATATACATAACATTTAAAAAATTTTTTTAATGTCATATTACTTCAGTCTTGTAGACTAATCCATTTAGAGGTAGCCCACCTAAGATTTATGGGAGGTTTGGTTAATGCTACAAGACTGAACATGTTCAAGTATGGAAACCAGAATGAAACATAGGAATAGGAGAGAGACCAGAGGGAAGATTATCTTCAAACTTTGATCACTTGGTCTCGTACAGTGCCTTTCTGGTCTGTGGTTCCATATTGTCTCCCTACTTGTGAGGAGTTTGTGAGCTCCTCAAGTAAAGGTTCTATCAGTTAGGTTACCTATCAGCTTTAAAATACAAAAGTTCTCACTTATACTAATTGGCCATTATGAATCAACAAAGGGGCTCTGCTCATGGTAGGTGATGAGAGACCCAGACTGACAGAGGCACCAACCATCTCTATCCTGGCTTCCACAATTGCAGAGGCAGGTAAAAAGATGTGGTGAGCCACAGGCTGGGTCTTAACATTTCTGTCCAGAAGAGATCCATATCACTTCTGTTTGCATTTTATTGGCCAAATGAGTCATTCAGTAATGCTTGAGTTCAAGTGGGTGATGAAATACATACCAACGTGTGTCCAAAAGAGAATCGAACATTAGGCAGATCTAATACCGACTGTGCCTTCCTTCTTCTTTTGTGTAATCCCCCTCCCCAGACCAGAACATGGATTCAGCAAATGCTGTTGGGAATGATGAATGAATGAATGCATGAATGCAGAAGTGGAGTCAGTGGAGTCCATAAGCTCGAGTGTAATGGGCTTAGAGAGTAGCACCACAACCTTCAGAAGCAGGAGGGCACACTGAGTGTGTTACACTGGGAGTGTCTGGTAATGGGCGCTGAAACATTAGTTCCAATTTGGAGTCCAGGCAGAAAATGACTCCTTGTACCAAATGGATTAAAAATATCCCACCCATAACCATAGCACACAGAACACTCAACAGAACTGAAAGGACACCACTACAGATCACCACAGTATCGTGGGGTTGAGAGAAGGGAGATACTTCCATTTTATGATTTGTATACTTCTGCATGGTTAAGGTTTCTAGAATAATTATGTAATTATTTTGTAAAAATTAACTATTAAAAATTACCCTCCCACTGGTTTATACAAATTATATGATTATATAATTATAATGTTATATAAATAAATTATATATTTATTACTGAGATGACTGCTTGGGAAGAGGTAGTTACTTATTTTAGAATGTGGGCTCTGTAATTTCAAATCCTTTACCTGTCTTCATAAGGTGTTGAAGTAAAGAACTGTTTAGATATTGGTTTATTTATAGGGACTTGAACTGGTTGGACTTTACCTGACTACGAGAATCAAGAGTCTGATTTCTAAACTCTTTGCTGGAAGGCCAAAACTAAGTAAGTAGCATTCTTTACTAGTGGCCATAACAAAATTTATTTCCACTTGGATTTGGTAATCCTTACACTGTGGCTAAAAGTAAGTATCTGAAGAATTATGTAAAAATGTAGAAATATAGTCTGTGCTTTATGAAGGGGAAGATATTTAAGAATAAAGCTGAAAAAGGAATTAGATTGTAACTGAAGAGAAGGAGTATGGTAGACAACATATCTTGCCAACTCATATGCCTCCTTCCGTAAAAACAACCCCCACAACTTACATGAGTAGATCTTCTGTATCTCATTTGTATTATGGAACTTTGCTCCCCTGGCCACTGCTAATTGGAAGACTGGTAAATACAGAAGCTAAGCTCTTCTCATCTCTCCCGGGAGCTTATAATTGAAAAGAGACACTAGTTATTCTCTGTTATGCATGAAATGAGAGGACATGTGTATCAGTTAGGATTAGGCTTTAGTTGCATGTAAAAAGAAATTAAAAGTAACAATGGCTTAAATAAAATAGAAATTTAGTTCTTCACACACAAGAAGTCTGAAGATAGGTACTCAAGAGCCTGAATGGCAGCTCCACTTCCTCAAGGATCTCTTCAACTCATGGATCCACCATCTCTTTGATTTCTTTATTCTCACAATCAAAATATGGCCGCCATAGCTCCAACAGTCATATCTGATCTTCACTCAGAAGGATAAAGGAAGAGAAAGGCCCAACTTCTTCCTTTTAAAAATCCATTTCATTGGCTAGAAGGTAGTCATGTGACAACATTTAGCTGCAAGGGAGTCTAGGAATAATGTAGTATTTATTTCAAGTGATTTGTGCCCAGTTAAAGTTGGGGGGAGGGGAAGGAGACATAGTGTTCTGGGTAGGAGTACAGTCTCTAGCATATTATATAAATTCATGAGCTATGCCAGGAAAAAAATAGAGAAACCAGTCTGCAAAAAAGAAGGAGAAGGAGGACGATGATGAGGAAAAGATACAGATCTGCAGAAAGAAGCGAGAGACCACGCGCCTTTAGGGAGAAGCTGAGAAAGGGTAGCTGCCTGGCTTCTCAAAGCCTTTCTACTTTTTGATTTCTACCCTGTAAAGACTGACTGCAGGTCGTGTCTTTGTTTTCTGTGAGATGCCTCTATGTTCTTATAACAAATTATCCCTTTAATACTACTTTAAGTGGGCGTCTATTTTTTTTGCAAACAATAACTCTAAAACTGAAAGTTACTAAAACCAGGGATAGAAAAGTACACAAATAACTTGTCACATATCACACTAAAGCAGCAAAAGGAGTTCAGAAAAAGGAAGGATTCTATCAAGATGGGCAGGGAACTAGGGTTCCTCTCGGCTTTGGAGGACGGCTAGAGTTTGACACAAAAAGATGGTCAGAAGGACATTTCTTGTACCAGTGTCAGTTGCAGAATACCAAAACTCTTCTAGCTATGTTAAGCAGGAAGAGATGTAATTGGGGAATAGTGTGTACAAAATTGTTAGGTGGGCTGGAGAGGCAGGCTCTAGGCTGGCGTCCAGGAATGCCTCCTAGGACGTGACTGCTGAATGGCCCCAGGGAGCTGCTGCCTCTGCAGTTGTCAGAAAGGCAGAGAAATCAAGAAGCCACCTCTGGAATGGCCGAGTTCATGCACCACTACAACTACAGTCCAGGAAGCCACTGCCACCCTTGCTGCTCCTGTCCTTCCACACCCACAAGGCTAGGGACTGGACCCTGGAATGCTGAATTTGACTTCTGCTGCCACTGCAAATTCTTCTTAACTTTTGTGAAACTAATATCATCTGGACCCAGGAACATCGCTGCAGTGCAGAAAATTCAAGACCCCCCCAATCTTCCATAGCAGCAACAGACAACAGGAAGACGGCTTCCACCTCATTTCTGTCTTCCATACCTCTCAAGGGTCAGTCTAAGAGTTGCAATTCCAGACCCTTGATGCAAAGTATTCTGGAAAATGTAGTTTTTAATCATTCCAGCCTCTGCCATACTGAAAGTCATACTAAAAGGATACTGAAATGAATATTGAGCAAGACAATTCACCATAGTGATCTTGTTTAAGTGGTATGGGAAAACTTTCTCTAGGTTATTTGGGATTACCATGTACCAGATCCTTTTAAAATAATGTGAATTATGTTTGTATGTCTTCCATGTCTTAGGCGTCTAGAATGTATAGACATTTAGACTTACATGTCTAGAATGACATGTAACATCTTAAAAACAAGTAAAAACTATCTGGTTAGTTCAAATGAGAACACTTCAAGAGTATTAGAAATATTCGCCTGGGAGATGGGAGAGAGTTAATGTAAGAGAGAACGGAGTCCCAGCCAAGTGGTATTTGTGCCATTGATGAAAACAGGAGGCAAAGCAGGAGCACCTTGTTTTGACCTCTCCCCACCTCCGTTGCTCCCCGTCCTCCCCCAGCCTCCTGCACACCAAGTAAGGATTGTAGTCAGACACTAGGGACCACACTTCCAGAAGCTCTCTTGCTCCTGCTGTCTTCTGCTCAGTCTTCTCAAGTCCTGTCCCTGAAGCTCCACCTCATGAAAGGTTCATATGACCTTGAGGTAACTCCAACTGTGCACCACGTATGCCACAGGTACCCCGGATAACTACCCAGGAGGAATTCATATGATGTGAATGGGTATTAAACACCCCCCCTTGCTTTGTCAGCCATCCTCTTCTAAACACACTCCAGTCAAATCAGTTGAGGGTTTTATTAGAATATGGGCTTTATATGCAGACAAAGCTAACTGTCCATCAACAATCACACTTTTCCTTTCATCGTAGACAGTTGTTGGGAAGTGTATGCCCAGCCATGGACTACATTTCCCAGCGCCTCCTGCACCCAGATTGGGCCATGTGACTACTTCTAACCAAAGGGAAGTGAGAGGAAGTAAGCTGTGACACTTTCAAGCTCAGGAGCTTAAGAAGTGATGTGCATTGCCCACTCTCTTCCACCTGTGGTTTGGAGACAGCCAAGCTACCTTGGAAGTCACGTGTTGAAAATATCAGCTTCCATTGACCTAGATCCCTGAATGACCAGATGAAGCACAGCTCCCCCAACCCCTTCCTCTTCTGCCCACCTGGAACTGCTCAGGATAATTGACATCAACAAGAAATAAATGTCTATTGCGTTAACTCATTGTATATTTTTGTGTCCATTTGTTACAGTAGCTAGCATTACCTCATTAATAAATTCAGTGTATTCTTTATCTTTCACCTAATAACTTTCCTGAAGTTTGCAACATGTTGCCAA